ACAAGGCCTTCATCCTAAGCAACAGGGATCTTGGAGTTCATCTACTGACATAAACATTTATTTCTTCTCTCTTGGACAGAGAGGAACAACTATCTGTGGTCCTATAGCACTTACTATAGACTGATATATAACTTACCACAGTTATTTCCTCTCCTTGCACAGATACATCTGGTCTGCGAAAATGACACAAAGCTACAATTCCTGCTATACTAGCGGCATCAATGATGTTCCCATCATGATTTAACAGGTGCAGGTCCACACGAATTTGCCAAACCTAGGGAAAAGTGCACATAATGGCTCAGGACTTGATAGCATGATTCCACAGAAGCTGTCATTATTGCAATGATTTCAGCTTCTGAGTCACCAAAACAAAGTACTAGAGTATACTCATAAATTCATCAGTTCTTGGTTTAAGAAGTCATAATGAAAAATCTTAGTAAATCCAAAGATACACAGTATGCTAGGTTTAAACACTGGTAATTTTGACAGATACACAACAATGAAATATAGTTAAGATATTCAATCGGCAAAGAAATACTTCAGGGTGCTAACTGTTGCAAAAGGCTTGCAGAGATGAGTAAATTAAAACACATGGCATGCAAACTCAGATGGTTACATCCTTACTACGTTAGGCTAAAGTCAAAATTCTGAGTTTTCAAAACAAGACAGTGACCACTTCGAAAAAAACATATACGTCCTCTCGTGTCCGGAGTCAGCAACTTCCTGTACCTTTTCACCAGCAACAACACAGAGAGACTCCGTATCTATGCACTTCGAGTTTCTCAGGCATCGTTCTATCAGCCTGTTCAGTTTCACCAGCAGCTCAGATTGCCTGTTAAAACAAAATTGCCCCAGACTGTGTGCAATTAAACTGTATATTTACATGGACCCTAATAATGGCTCTTATGGTGCCCCTCTTTTTAGCTTTTTAAGGAAACTACATACCTGCCAGGCTCAAAAGCGGGTGCTGCCATTGGTGAGAGCTCAAGATTGAAGAAAAGGATACCTTCCGTAGCCCGATTTGGCTTGGGGGGCACGAGCTCACATGAGACTTGTCCAAGAACCCTGCAGTGAGAGGGCAATAAACCCTCAGATCACTGAATTTAGTAGGAAAAAAAATATCTACCACTAGAAACATGAGAGAATCCCTTAAAATATATATATGTTTATAGACATATATATACTTGCATTTCAGTTTTTATTTTGTACTTGTCATCTCCAAATTTCTACCCAGGCCCTCTCTCTCCTCTGTGCTCCAATTTATTGCACGGATTCCTACTGCCGAACTGCTGTCGCTTCCAGCCTTCATCCCGGGAATTGCCTCTCAACGCCCCTCCCCCTGGGCCTCACGGATTATTTTAAAGCCCTCTTCCCCAGACAGGGAAGGAAAAGCCAGGCG